AGTGTGTATAACATCTGAAAGCTTATGACAAAGAAACTTCAAATTTTCTATGGTGATACAGGATCTAAGTTTTTGCAAGAATACCTCGATTTCAGTCCTACAATAGGCTAAGGTAAAAAAGAAGTTGCTGTTCATGATAATCCAAACAGAAATTTTAAATATATATTGATTATTACAATTAATACAACAGGGGATACTTACTCCTCCTAGGCACCTGATCCTACCTCTGGAATTTCCAGGGGTCCGTGTTTTATGTCCTCTTCACAGATTTGTATTGTTTATAGATATTTTGAGATCGATCACTGTTCGTTATTTTCACCTTTTTCATTCTACAGTATGACATCATGTAATATTACCTCATCTGAGCACTTCCAAAGAATTCTTTTCTTTGTACAATATTTTGTTAACCATTCAAAATAAGAGTTAAAATCTGGCTACGTATACAGTACAGGTAACTAATTTTGATGATAAATCACCATCAGCACACTCTTCATACAATAAGCATGAAAAGCCTGTATATTTTTCGGTTTTGAGCTATAAACTCTTTATTTAGCTGCATAATTTCTGGACAAGAGAGACAATATTAAATATATCAACACAGATAAAGGGCTCTGAAAGACTGACTTTTTTGTAAGACTAGGGGAGATGAAGTGTCATGAATTAATTTCAATTAAATAAATGGAAAGACACTGCTTGCAAAGCCTGGACAGATGTTAATATAAACATTTTCATACATATACTAAAATTTAATGTCAATATAATCAGTTAAAACTTTGATGTCAACATAACATCTACAGAAATTAAATGTCAGCATAAAAAGCTACATAAATTTCATGTGATTTCATGTTTCTCTCCCCCTTTTTTTGATAAACGTTGCTACGGGCCTGTCTTGTGTTTATGTCTCTCTCTCACACTAAGATCCTCGAGAAGAGAAATCACATTGGGTTTGTCACTGTCTACAGAAATATATCGGGTCGATCAATCTCGCGCACGGTTCGGCTTCGCTTCGTCCTGTATGAGATTGATCATTTCTGTAGACAGTCAGTAACAAACTTTATAAGTAATAGTATCAGGTGTCTGGTGACTTGTATCGCTCAGAGAAAAATGAAAATGATATTTGGATAGGAACTTCTACAAGTAGATATACAAGTATTATAAGAAGAGACATTAACTTTTCACATGTCTACATATCTGCATACAGTTTAATCATTTTTTAGAGTGTTTTCCAGCTTGGAGACTATTTTTGACACTAATGCAGGGTTAAAATATCGAACAATAATTCTACATATTACAATAAAAGTCGACGTATTAGGAACTTTATATACTAGTTATAGCACCTGATAGTTTTCAAATCTTCCTCGTGAAAGTGGACACCATTAGAACTTCACAAGTGCAAGATTTAATGAGAGCAATATATAATTCTGAAAGTGTATACACTCTCGGAATCAGTACAGTTTGTTAACAATTTCAACGCTTTTTACGTGGCTCAAAACAAATTTATAAAGTCCTTTCATTTATTTCTTTAAAAAAATTAATGGGAAATTTGAAAACAAATGATAAATAAATGCAAAACATTCTGTTAATAGAAGATTATTTTTTTTAATTTTTAGATAAAAAAATAAATTTATTTATAATGGTAACTACTGATTTAATAGACACACTTTATAAGAAGAAATGAATCCCTCCTTAATCATTGCCAGTAGGACAGCTATAGAGAATATATCAGAGTCAGTTTTCGTGGGACTGTGTCGGAAAATTGGGATCTCACAGCTTGTGGTCATGAGGAGGAGATGGTGATGGATATGAAATTTAGATATGTGATCTGTCTAAATAATCACCTAGGAATTATCTCAGTCTCAGTATAACTGACACAGATAGAAAAACACTGATCCTCTGTGACTGTTCTGATAAACCTTTAGGGACTATTTTGAGCAAACATAATAAGAAGGTTTCAAGTGCGGTTGTGTTACAAAGGATAACATATATTATGTATCTAGTTTTAAGTACAGACAAAGTTTGTGTTCTAGACCTAATATCACTCGACATAGCAGTCAGCCCCTTCACCCAAGGAAACTTTGTGGCAAGTTTGGTTGAAATTGGTCCAGTGGTTCTTGAGAAGAAGTAAAAATGTTTTTAAAAAAAGACAGACAGGCAGACAGACGGACAGACAGACGCCGGACAAAATGTGATCAAAACAGCTCACTTGAGCCTTCGGCTAATAAGTATAAGACACTTTAAGTTCACTGAAAAAGTTTATAACATACATTTCTTCTTAATCATATCAACATTTTTTTATACTGACCTTTTGCTTAAAAATGTTAATTTTCTTTCACCTTTACTGAAAATATCTAGAAACTGGCTTTTAAACAACAATTAAACCTGTTAAAATATATATTCAAAAAATGAAAGAATCATGACAGAATAAGAAATTCTGTGCAAATAATGAATTCTGTTTATTCAATGATGACTGCTAAATAAATATAATAAAGACTATTTATCAAATTAATCTCAAGGAAAAGGGTGAATATTACAGTGATCGATTTCAAAACAATAAACAATCTGTGAAGAGGGCATAAACACGGACTACTGGGAATTTCAGAAGAGGGATCAGGTGCCTAGGAGGACTAAGCTTCACCTGTCGACTGGTCACACCCGTCGAGAGGCCTATGTATTGATGAGGTAGAGGGAACTTTTCATAGTCAAATTCAGTATAAAACTAAGGCCTAAGGGGGGTCCAAAGTCACTTTTTATTTGCTTCAGTATATACTTTTTATAACTCTACAACCAAGTGATGGTCACATTTGTTAAATTGGTAGGCTTGCTAAGGCAAAGGGACATAACTCGAGCTTCTCTATTTTTATATGTCTCTGACGTCAGACACATTTTTGACATCGGGGTTAGTTGTCTTTTACGGCTTATTTCTAAATGAATACGGACGCTGTGTTCCGAATGATCAAGGAACTATTTTTGGAGATGCTCCTAGCGTATGCCTTTAGCTAGAAAGACTGTAAAGCACGTGTTTACTAAGGAAAACAACGAGGAGAAAGCGAACGGTAAGTGTGTTTTGACTCACAAAATGTGAAAGCACCTATCTAACTATGAAATTTTAAATATTCAAAGCTTATTGTTGCTATTTTTTATAAAAAGCAGATGAAAGACGCAAGACAATATCTGTATTTTAACGAAAATTTAAGTGGTGTGTTGATGGCCTCGTTTCCGTTCAGAAATGGCGGCTCCCATTGCAAGCATCATTTTCACACTCATTTCAGCCTTTTTCAACTAAAAAAATGTATCTAATATGTTTTAATTGAAGTAGTAAAACTGTTTTTCATGTTATCAAAAACAGTAAGAGTATAGAGTAGCTTTAATAAGATTTACATGGTTTCGCCAGAATGACAACAGAGAAAATTCGAAGTCAGATATATTGCATTTGTTTTCTTCAATTCTTCAATGGGTAAATGAAATGATGAATGGTAGGTGTTTCAAATATTGTAATGGCATTTATTCACAATTTTCAACAGATCAAGAGTTTGTCAAGAAATTTTAACAAGAATCTGTATTAAATAATTGAAAGCAGGCGAATAGGATATTCTGTTCAACAGTATTACTTTGTTAAAAGAATTCTGGATGGTCGTTTGCTTAGTGACAATTGTTCGGATTATGCCAGGAAATTAGTAACCCTATTGAACAAATTTACTAAAGAAATATATGAGGACAACACCTATGTCAAAGTAAGGGAGATTTTTGAGACTAAGGTAGAAGACTATCTCCATCAAACAACTGACTATTTAGAAACATTTATTGAGGAGATAGCTGAAGACATCTTTTTCAGGAGGAAAAAGAAAACGATTGCTCTCACTGACATACCGGAAAGCATATATGAAATAAATCGAGCAGCACTTGAGAACAAAGAAATCAAAATGACTGTTTTAGATGACTGGGATGCCATTTGTTAAATAATCCTCCCCATCCAAAAAACAAAAGTAAAAAAAAACCATGCCACTAAGCAACAGAGAAGCTTTAGACCTTTTTGAAAAAATAAAGCAGGACAATATACCACTCTGTAGAATAGATCAATTTTTTCAAGTGTACGTGGCAGAAAATGAAACTATTAATTCAGATGCACTGATTAGGAAATTGAGACGAACAAATGAAAATTTAAAAAAAAAGAAGGGAAATATAGAACTGAATTTGAAGTTTTACAATTTGAAATTCCAGTAGGTACCACAAATGCAAGTACCACAAATGCAAGTAATGTTAAGAAGTCAATAGTGGAATCATTTGAAACAGAGGCTGCAAATATGGCTATCAAGTCAATGGAAAATACTTTAAAAGAACAACAAATTGAAATTAAAAATAGAGAACTTCTTTGTGAAGAACAGATAGAGGCATCTAAACACCTCCAGGCAGAGACCTTAAAAAAATGACAGAAAGAGAAAAAAAATTAGAAAGGAGGTTGATGTGTGGAAAACTTCAACAAAAAAACTCAGATATGAGAACTTGCTTCTCAAAAGAAAAAGAAAACGAGATGAAATGAAAATAATTACTGCCAAAAAATATCCAAAACTTGAGATGGACTGCTCAAATTTGCTAAAGAAAGATCAGGATAGATCTAAGAAACTGCTGTCTCTGAAATCAGAATATAAAGTTATGCAAACTGAGCTTCAAAAAATACAATCTGCCTCACCCAAGATAAAACCAGAGGGAAATGATGACTGTAGAAAAGAAATTTTGAAGTTGAAAATTAATATTAAATCATTGGAGCAGGAAAGAGATTACCTTCTGAATATGTTAGATGATGATGTTGAAATGAAAATGTTTGATGAAGATTCAGGTTCATACACACCTAAAGTAAGAGAATGCATCATGAAATTGACATCGCTTAATGTTGCGACAAAAAACATTCCCCCTGTTATTGAAACCGTTTTAGGGCTAGCTAACAAAGTTGCTAATAAATTGCCATCGAGACAAACAGTAGACAATATTGTGTGTGAAAAAGC